ACTTTAAAATAACTTTAATATAAACTTAATTACTATAAATCTAATTTAAATTTAAAATTTTAAAGTTAAGTTATTAGTTCTTTTAATTTAAATTTATATAATTTAAAAATAACTAAACTATTAGATTATATAGTTTAAATTTATATTAAAGTTATTTTAAAGTTAATAAGAGTTTTATATTATAATTAGTATATAATTAAGAGTTAGAGGTTAGAAGTATTTTAAAAAATAAAATAGAATAATAAAATTAATATAAAAAGGAAAGTATAAGGGAGATAGCTAGGAATAAAGCTAATAGTTATATAATTAATCTAATTACTACTTTAGGATAGGAATAACTTTATAAAGTATAAGAGGTATTAACTAAAAGGGAGGTATAAAATAGTAGTTAGCTAGGCTTAGGCCTAAGGCCTAAACCTTAGCCTAAATCCTACCTTTATATAAGGGATTAGCTACACCACTTTATAACCAGGCGCGCCTGGCGCTCGTAGCTAGATTAATTAAGCCACTTCACTCACCTAGAGTTTGGTCGGTCTAATGGATGGTACTTAGATCGCGCGCTAGGAGGAAAAGCCGAAGATTTCCCGGGGAGTCATGCAACGCCAATTCACGTGAAGTCGAGGTTGATATGCTGACTAAGGCAGAACGCGACGAACACGCTAGCTAAAGTGGGTGGGGGCCAAACGCGGTTGACACCCGCAGTGCAGAGCTCGGCGTAAACACCACGACCAACCTTGTAGACGACTGCCAAAGAGCCTCATTTGCGCCTCAAAATACCTACCCGATGACGCCTAGCAAACCCCCAGGTGTTTCCCTCGTCGTCGAATAAATGACTCGAAATAACCTCGGGGATCAACTCTCCTGGCTGCTCGGCAATATCTCTATCTGCAAACCTACCGATCTTTCCCTTCCGCCGGCCCGCGATCCTTCAGGCACTGATCCGTCACAATCACAACAATCCCGTTTTGGGGGCCTCGGATCCCAGCAGGAGCTTCCAAGTCGACCCGTGTCACAATCAGACTTTGGCCGTACGAATGCGAGACCGACATTTCATGCCTCCAACGCGGTGGAACAGACGACGCAGGATTCTAGGGTGGCGATAACGGCAGAGGCTGACTCTATGGCGAAACTGACCTCAGCCTCGAAGACTAGGAAGCCTTCTTTGGCTGTGAAACAGCAGCAGCAGCAGTTGCTGACGCCATCCTCAACCACTAGCGGTGGGCGTTTTCAACAAGCTATCACTGCCCAACTTGAGCAACAAGGTGGGCTATCTGTGCATGCCGATTGCCAAAACGCACCTGCTAACGAACTGGAGATGCAGAAAGTACACGAAACAATCGAGCGGCTCCTCCTTCATCATCCCAAGACAGACGCCATAAGCCGGCGCCTGTGTCAACACCAGACCTACTTGACGATGACGACGAAATCCTGGACCTGACTGGTAACGATACGATCCTGTCGTCAGATTCGGTAGCATTCGATGAAGGAGTCACGGTATGGAACGAAGCACAGGCCTCAAGGCCAGAACCGCTGTCGAAGCGCGGCCAGAAGAGGAAGAGTACGGAGATGAGCAAGACAGGAGACTTGGATTCAGATTCGGACGAGTTTCCAGATATTTACAAGACACTGGGCACCCCAGCCCCAAAGAGTAGTCGAGCGGCTAAGAGCACGAAGACAATACCATCGAGCATCCGAAGGGCGAATACAGACAAGGGCATGGTGGAAGAGCGAACTATCACACAAACAATCAGCCGAACCCAGCGCACGTACAAGATGACCGATGATCCTCAAGAACGGGGGACGCCACGTCGGCTCCCAATTGCTGTTGGTGGCCAGAATGCCATCGGACGGACTCCGAGCAAGGCCTTCCGGATTTCTTCCAGTCCAGAGTCGAATCAACGGGCGAAATCGGCAGGTTTACAGTCCACTCAACAACGTCCTCGGCCTCGGGTAATACAGGATTCAGATGACGAGTTCGATGACGGGGATTTTGACGCCGAGCTTCTAGCTACACCGAGTCGAAGTAACTTCATGCCAGCCTCTGCAGCTCGTTCCAGACCGGCATCTGTTCCCTTTGGAGGTGCAGATTCATCAGACGAGCTCGTTGCGCCTGATACTCCTTCGAGGCCGCAGCCAACGACATTGCTGCCGGATGATTCCCTAATGAGCTTCGGAGCAGACACTGTTCAAGATGACTCAACGAATACACTATCACAGCCGACGCCCTCTTCGCAAGGGAAAAGGTCCACGGTGCTGAAGTTCATCTTGGACAACCCAGACGCCATGAAGGCAAAGGAGATGATGATCCAGGAGAAGCTCGTGCACAACTCCGAAACCTTCCGGAACGTCTTGATGGATGGCTCAAGGGAAGACCGCAATAAGCATAAAGCCGAGAAAGAGTTGTTAATGACACAGCAATCTTGCCTGAAGAAAGCATACGAACTCCTCAAGTCGCACGCGAAACTTCAAGGCGAGAAAGAGGTGCTTGTACAGCAAATCGCCACGGCCTACGGTGACGGTGGCGACACTGAGCAGGACGAGATTCGTTTGGATGAAGTGTCAGACAAAGTTAGGGCTTTGGAGCAATCCATCGAGCGACATCTTCCTAGTGTGGGTATTGACGGCGAATCTTTCATCGACGACTACCGCAGGTCTAAGGCTATTGTAATGAGCACCCAACCTAGCCACAGGACCCCGGCCAGAGCGTCGAGATCTGCACAAGCAGCCGAGGAGAATGACAACCAAGTCATTCATCAGACACAATTCCCCGGATCATCGAGAATAACCGACCCCAGAGATCGGTCTCCGCCGCCGTTTCCACGGTCCAAACCCCCCGTGCCCAAGAGCACCAAGAAGTCAGCCCCTCCGATTGCGAAAGCCAGTCGACGAGACGATTTCGAAGACAACTACCTGGATGATATTGAAGATGACTTCGGCGCATTTGATCCTGAGCCGCCAATCTCTAGGCCGTTGCCAAGCCGCAGAAGTCCTGTGAAAGCATCGCGCCCTCGCGCCATGGATATGTCCAGTGATTATGGCGATGATGCGGACGCAGACATGCTTGCGCTCGCGCAAGACTTTGAATCGCGTCACTCGTCTTCTGCGGAAACGGCTTCCAAGAGGAGAAGCATCCTTACTGCAACATCAGGGAATCTCGCTCAGCCTCCCAAATCCCATGAACCCTTGAAGAAGAGGGAAGTGTCTAAAGCAAAATTGTCGATACCACCCGAGTTGATGAAACATCCCTGGTCCCCGGATGTCAGAAGGGCTTTGAAGGACAGATTCAGGATGAGAGGGTTTCGACCGAATCAACTTGAAGCTATCAATGCCACTCTAGCTGGCAAGGATGCCTTTGTGCTAATGCCGACCGGTGGAGGAAAATCACTCTGTTATCAACTGCCGGCAATCATCAACAGCGGGAAGACCCGGGGGATCACGATTGTTGTTTCGCCTCTGCTCAGTCTGATGCAAGATCAGGTCGATCACATGTCTGCGCTGAACATCCAGGCGGTATCCCTCAACGGTGAAACAACTTCTCAGAAGCGAAACCAAATCTTCTCGTCCTTTAAGGAGAGAAGCCCTGAGTTGTTCGTCCAGTTACTCTACGTCACGCCTGAGATGCTAAACAATAGTCCCTCCTTCATGAAGGCCTTGCAAACGCTCCACTCAGGCAAACGACTTGCTCGTATAGTCATTGACGAGGCGCATTGTGTCAGTCAATGGGGCCATGATTTCCGGCCAGACTACAAGGCCTTGGGAAAGCTACGGAATCACTTTCCCACGGTACCTATTATTGCGCTCACAGCAACGGCAACCCAGAACGTCATTGTTGACATCAAACATAATCTGGGTATGGATAATTGCGAGGTGTTCTGCCAGAGTTTCAACAGACCGAACCTCACGTATGAAGTTCGCCGGAAGGAGAGGGAGTTGGTGCACAAAATCGCCGACCTCATTCAGTCAAAGTACGACCAGCAATGTGGCATTATCTATACGCTATCGAGGAAAACATCTGAACAGGTGGCCGAGAAGCTACGAGACAAATACGGCATTTTAGCCCATCACTACCACGCACAGATGTCACCCGAGGACCGGATTGACGTTCAAAGGCAATGGCAGAAGGACAGAATCCATGTGGTTGTGGCAACCATTGCCTTTGGCATGGGGATTGATAAACCAGACGTTCGCTTCGTTATTCATCATTCGGTACCCAAGAGCTTGGAAGGCTACTACCAAGAAACGGGGCGAGCTGGCAGAGACGGCAACCCATCCGATTGCATTCTGTATTTCGGATATCAAGATGTCGTCACCTTGAGGAAGATGATCGCGGACGGGGATGGCAATGAAGACCAAAAAGAGCGGCAGAGAACGATGCTCAATCGGGTCACGGCGTTCTGCGACAATCGGGAGAACTGCCGCCGTGTCGAAATCCTTCGATACTTTGGCGAGGTATTCAACGGAGACGAGTGCAACAAGACGTGCGACAACTGTCGAGCGGGAGCTGTTTTTGAGCAGCAGGACTTTTCTGACAAGGCTGTTGGCGCCATTCAGACCATCAGAAACCATGAAAAATTAACGGTCAATCAGTGCCGAGAGATTCTCTTAGGAAAGAAATACCCTCCGAACATAGACGAGGACCCAGACGACGCCCACGGGATAGCTCGGGGGATGAAACAGCATGAAGTTGAGCGCATCCTCGACAGACTTACTGCTGAGGAGGCACTCGAGGAGACAAACGTGGTGAACAAGCGGGCTGGTATTGCCATCCCGTACCTCATCGTATGTTGCTTAATTTACCGCCCTCACTACGATCGTGACTAACATGGTGCTAGGTTGGTCGCAATGCGCATATGTTTCTGTCTGGGCGCCGCAAGCTGTTGCTGTCGGTTCAGGTTTCCGATAGGGGTAGGGAATCCTCGGCCCCAAAGCCGAAAAAGCGAACAAAGAAGAGCAAAGAGGCCGATGATGTAGACACGGGCGCAGGGCCTTCCAGACATGTCCCGCCCTCGACTAATGTGTCTTCGCCTGCTCAAGCAAGGATCCAGAATAAGAAGAAGGGCAAGTCCATGGCAACCATCTTCGATACGGACGAAGAGGAAGAGATGCTACTGCAACAAATGGAGGAGCAGGACTTGTCTTTGCACTCAAACGGCTACGCAAAGGATGGCTTTGTCATGTCGGATGATGAAGACGACGCGTTCGAGCCTTTGCCGAAGTCTCGCAACAGAAGTCACGCTTCTCGCGACGTTGGTCCTCGTATAGAGGCAGACGGTCGGTTGGGAGATCTTGATGAACTGCATCAAGACGTGGTTCACAACTTTGTGCAGGAGGCGAAGAAGCTCGAAGAGCAGCTGCGCAACGCGCAAAGTCTCCGGAAGCCGCTTTTCTCCGAGCGAAGCTTCCAAGAAATGGCTATTCGGTGGACAACAACACTGCCGCAGATGCGCAAAATACCAGGCATCGAGATCGAGAAGGTTGACAAGTTCGGGACCAAGTTTATTCCCATGGTCAAGCGTTGCCGAGACAACTACAATTCCATGATAGGGGCGATGGACGCCGGTGATCAGTACATTGTTGACTTGATCAGCTCTGATGAAGACATGGACGAGGACATGGAAGATGACGACGATGAGGAGGAAGAGGAGGCTTCCAAGTATTTCAATGGCCCGCCACCACCGCTGAGACCAGAGGTGGAAGCGTGGAATGAACAAATGAGAGTGAACGAGCTCGAGACAGCTCCGCCGACACGAGGATCATCAGGCACACGAGGCCGTGGTGGCGCACGCGGTGGAAAGAAGCCATACCGCAGAGCTTCTGGCGGAGGGTACAAGAAGGGAGGGGTGACCAAAAGGAAGGCCTCAGGCGGGGCAAGCAGAAGGAGTAGCGGCGGGACGACGGCTTCCAGCTCCAGGAATTCGACTGTCACGCACTTCTTCCCTAGAGGCGGTAAGAGAGGTGGCGTCAGCGGTGGAAGGAGCGGTGGTGGTGGCGGCAGCATCGGACTGATGCCGCATTAAGTCGAGAGAGAGAAAAAGGGGTATATGATGTGCACACGTCTGATACGAACAGAATTGGCGACGATGGAAAATTATCACACTGCATTACATGGCATGGTCACGAAGCGGCAGCAGGAGGGAGTGAGCAAGGGAAGAAACTTGATCGTCTGCATATTTTCATGGCGGCGGAGTGGGCGATTGTGAAGCATGATATCGGTTCGCGCGGGTCAGGCGTCGAACCGGTTTTGGCAGGGCATCTTCTTCCGGCGCAGCGTAGGCACATTTGGCATTTCAATGTTAACAATAACCAACCATTTTCTCCCTCGTTGGTATGATGTTATTTCTATACTGAGCAGACCCTGCCTACCTACCTCATCGCCTCCGTCGTGTCTATATCCCCAAAAAGACGCGAGCAATAAGCCATCACCGGGGGGGGATGTGGTGCTATGTTGCGATTCACTCAGGCTGTCATCTTCATTTTAGGGTATGCGAATTATCAATTTACGTCTTCCGCCTGCCAATCTATCCACGTCCTCCCCCCGCTGTGATACCTCTCCCCCCCCCGCGACTACCAGACATACTCCAGCCAAGTTCACTTCAGTTGCCACAAATGTCGTCGGTGGTTCCAACACATCGATCGCAGCAAACGAAAATAATCGATTCTCTTTTTCTTTTTTCTTAACCCCAATGGTGGTTTGTAGTAGCGTATGGTTGAGCGATTTCATACCCCTTGTTGACCGGACATGACGGTGCGCGTCTTGACCGGCAACGGGGCTTTGCGATTCCCATCCATCCACGGATGGCCCGGTCTGGAGGCCATTTGTGCCCCCAAAATACACCATTGACCAGACTCCAGCCCACCTTCCGGGTATAATGCCAACATTCCAAAATAAAATCAAAATATAAATAAACCAAGACCGCCGGAGAGGCTTTTCCCCGCTCCTGAAAACACGCCATCCGACGGTTCCTAACCCGACGCCATGCCGCAAAGCAATAGAAGTAAGAGTCGTCCAAATGGCCCTGCCGTGAGCCATTAGGGAGCATAGTCGAATATGTACAAAGTTGGTATCGAGTCGTAACGATGTGTTCAGGCGATATCTGTCGAGGCCCTCTCATCAAACTACTTGGAGGCCTCGTGTATTTCCGTTGTGAATGATCAAGTATCAAGTCCGCCAGCGGGGCTTGCTCATCACGTTGGCACCCGCACCACTGGGAGCTGCTGGCGAGCTGACAGTCCTCCTCTTTTGCCTGACGAAAGACTCCTAGCCCCTCCATCTGGGTTTGCTGCTCGCAGCGGAAGTGCTGCCGGACAGCTCGGGTAGAGTCTTGCGGGTAGCCCCACGAGGCGTGATGCCCAACGAGGTTTCTCTGCCATTTGAGCTTGGCCCTCTAGGCTGTGGCAGCAAGCTGGCTCGTCGAGTGGTAGCTAGAGAGCTGGCTGGACGACTCGGTGTCCTGTCGTCAGCGGTCAAATAGGTCCTGGGAGGCTGCAAAGATGCACGTCGAGTAGATTGAGATTCCAGGCCAGAGGTAGACAAAGACGAGGACAAGCGCGGTTTCGACAGCGTGCGCTGCGAGTAAGGGCCAGGAGAGGCAAGACGCTCACGGAACGAGAGCTTGGAAGTGGCCCTCTTCGTCGGCGTGTCCTCGGGCATGGGCGAAGCTGATGATTCTCGCCCGAGCGGACCACGAATTGATGGCAACCTACTACCACCTGGTGACGAAGACCGTGGGGTCAGGGACGAGGGCGGGCGAGGGACGGGTGATGTTTTCTTAGCGTAAGGGCTGGGTGACGTGAGACTAAGGGGTTTGAAGTTGTGGCCAATGCCGACATCTGCTGTGTTCGTCGAGCCATTCCACCGAGGGCGGTTTGGCAAAGTTGACTGAGCGCGGGGAATGCTGCCAGCATTGCTGGCCGATGGCGTACCCAGTCGTGAAGTCATGTTTGACAGACGAGAGGTCAGAGTCTTCCGAGAAGATGGGGTCGGCAAAGAGGATTGTCTTCGCCCCGGAGGCTGCGGCAGGTTGCTGCTGCTTGCCGAACGGTTCCTGATCTTGGGCGTGGGTGTCATTGGCTCGAAGCCAAGGCTAGACATGATGACTGATGAAGGGGGCGAACTGCCCGGAGTCTCGCGTCCACTGCCTATAGTTGAGCGATCATTCGACAACATGCTCGAGATGGAGTCTCTCAACTGCTGGCCGCGGTTGTCCGCTTGCACCTCATCAACCACCACATCCATTTCTCTCATCTCGTCCTTGATTGACTCCCACTTGGATTGCATTTCCGCGTGTAGTCTGAGAATCTCGCCGTTCACTGTCAGTCGATCCTTAACACCCTTGTCAATGATGGCCAAGACACGCTCAATAGCAGGACCATAATGCGTCTTCTTGGCGTCGTAACCCTCAATCTTCTTGCTCATCGCAGGGGGGTTGCTCAAATGCATGCCGGTGTCAATGGCCTCTCTCAACTTGACCATCGATCTTTCGACGGATTCAATCATCTTCTGTGCCTGCCGTCCGGCGCCACGGAAAACGAGTACCCAGCGATCTTCTCCCAGCTCCTTGCGTAAAGACTCGGCATCCTTCTCCAACTTCTTGTAGCTACCGTCCAGACCTTCACGTCGCATCTCTAGCTCCTCACAAGCTGTAGGAAACGACTTTTCAGCTCTTGCAGCGAAGACGGCGAGTCTCATGGGGAGGAAATCGAGTGATGCGCGCAAGGGTTGCATTCGGGCAAACAGAGCCAACAGGCTTGAATCATCCTGCGACAGCGTAGGTGTCCCTGGCGACGTCGACCCAGGGCTGAGAGCCAGGCCTGGTAGGGAGAATCGGTTCTGGGCTTGCACCTTGGGTGGCGGTGGCGGCGCCGGCGTGTCGTCCACGATATTTTCAAGATCTCCAATGTCAACGCCGTCGCCAGAGGTAGCCGCGATGAGCGATTTGTGCCGGCGTTCCTCCATCTCGAAGACCAAGCGACTTAATTCGTCCATTTCAGTCTGGATATCACCCAAAACTGAGTTCCAGAGTTCTTCCCATTCCATGGCGATTTCAACTTGACCCTTCACGGTGTTCAGCGTCGCTTTAATGTTGGCCCATTCTTCAATGATAGCCTCCATTTGAGAGACTGCCCGGTGGAGGTCTGCTGGCGGAACATTGGCAATATCCTGACGACACTGCAGCTCCTCGATGGCGCTTACGTAGACTTTGATCAAATCTTCAAAGCGATGGATAGCGTTCTCGACTTCCTCTAGGCCTTCGCGCCCGCCTGCGGAGGCCCACTCGACGTCATCGTCACTATCCAAGCCACCAATGACCTCAGACGCCTTGTAAATCCAACTCCTAATCTGTTCAGCTGCGTTGATGAGGGCCTTCGAGGCGACCTGCGCGGTTGGAATCGCGGAAACTTTGCTAGACAATGACTCGGCGTCGGGCAGTTGGAGGGAAGTGAGTTGTGCTAGCTGATTGGCAAAGGAGGCGCGGGAAAGTGTGTAGATTGAGCCGGGGCGCTGGTGGCTAGGGTTGAAATACGAGGAGAGATCAGGCGTGAACTCGGCCTGAGGAATAGGCGGCGTGTCCTTCGGAGGTGGAGGAGGAGGGACATCCGAGGAGTTTTGACGTTCGAGATGTTCTCGTCGTGTCTCGAGCTGGACCTTGGTGCCATTTCCATTGGTGTGGTCGGGCAGGCGGTACTTGTGTGTCTCCATGTCCAGCGGTTCTGTTGTTGTGATCTCGGGTAGGACGAGAGACGCGCCCGGGGCAACGTCTGCGGCGGACGGCGATGGCTCAGTATCGGGCTCTTCGGTTGAGGTTACGGATTGAGTCTTTTGTGTCTCCGAGGCTTTGTGATGTACGAGACCCTTCCAAGGACGGCCGCGGCGATGGATAATCGAGTCGAGTGAATTCGACTTGTGGTTCTCGTCGAGTTGGCGGAGTTGATCTTCGGGAAGGCGACCGACGTTGTCTGGTAGGTTAGGAGACGAATCTGCTGATTTCTTGTAAGAGGCCAAGCCAAGTGCTTTGAGGCGTGCAGCGAGTCCTGGCGACGGCTTGCGCGGTTGGATTGCTTTGTTCGCGTTGGGTGAGCCGGATGGTGATGATGTAGCAAGATGCGAAGATGCGGATTTGCTGCGGATCGAGCTTGCAGGCGACTTTGTGTGGTTGTTTTCGGTGTCGGCGATGGTATTGTTGTTGTTGTTTACGACATCGAATGGGGCCTGTAGTTGGAAAAGTTCGGGGCTAGAGACGTCAGAGAAGCCCAGGTCAAGGTCCGCTGTTGGAGGGGCCTGTGCCTGGTCTTGTGGGTGCTGTGGGTGCTGCAGTTGGTGGCTGGAGACGAAGTTTTTGGCGTCGGCAATGGCGGCGTCAGCGGTTGCGGTTGCAGTGGTGTTGGCGTGGGCTGCATCTGCCTCCTCTGGCGCGGAAGCTCCCTCGGCCGACATTTTATTCGTGCTTATGCCTGTGTGTATGTTGAGTCACGAATCGTCCTTCAAGACGCCGAGCAACCTCCTCTTCGGTGCTGAACCCCAGGCGGCCGGCCCTCCGCGTGCCTCCGTAGAGACAGACGTCTCCAGGTACGGCGCAATGCTGTACGTGTCCAGCCAGGACGGCCGACAACGACTGAGCAGGTTCGTGGGTTGGCTGGGTCCGGTGGTCCTGAGCTTGAGTGATAACTGGGTCGAGGAGACTGATCCTCGCTGGGTTCGGTCGCTTGAGCTGCAGGCCGCCGAATGAGAGGGATCGAAGAGCGGCGCTGGAATGCTGGGAATGCTGGATGCCTGGGCAAGCTCGTCGAGCGCACTGTTGTCAATGCCTTAGTCGGTGGGGTCCCGGCGATTTCAGTTACAGGGGAGATGTACGACAGAAACGAGCAAAAGCGTCCGGCAACAGGGGATCTAGAGGAGCCGAAGGACGGGAATGCAGTCGTTATTGGCGGCGCAGGAGCGTGTGCGCTGCGTCGGCTGCAAGACCTGCAAGAACGATGACCGGGACTGGGCAACGCCAGTCGTTTGGCGCGCAATCTT